TTCAGACCGGAAGACATTTTAAATGTGCTCCTTTTTTTTTTTCTCCTTAAATTTTATAGCTAAAAAGAAAGTATAGTTGTCATCATATGGCATATTTGCTTAGAGGGTGGCAACATTGTTTTCCAAAGAAAACGTGTCTTCCCTAATTGAATCTCTCATAAACCAATTGAAAAGTTTCTTTTCCAAGTGGAATGTATTTCTGCTTCATGGGCTATGAAATGAAAGCTTGAATATTTGGTAATATTTAAAATTTTTTTCGATGTTTAAAAAGCATGCCCTCACTTGTAGTGACTGGCCTGTCATGACAGAAAAATCGTGTTATGATTTCATCTACTTTTTGACAGGTGGTTTTGCCTTCCTGTGCCACATACAGAGTTAAAACTGTCAGTTGAAATACGCCTCCACTACTTGTGTTCTGATTAGAGTCTCGGTTTTAATACAGTGGAAGGCAGAGGGTGGTGGGAATATTTCCTGTTTCATTTTCTCAGCTGAAGTTCCATGTTTCTGTGTCTACAAAGGCCTTTGTGCTTCAGACCAACTTGAATGATCTCTACAGTTCATTCAGGGGGAAAAACCTGGAAATGTAAAGAAACACCTATTATTAAATTATCCTTTATCGCTGAGCTTAAATGTCACTCTCTATAATGACTTGTGAAAATCTGTGTTTATAGTAGTTTTCAGTGCTTTTAGTTTAGGTACAATAGTAGACATCATAGTGCCCCAAATTGCAGGGGCGCAATGTCTATTCTGCTTTTCAGGAATTATTTTTGGGTGAGGAGTTTGTCTTGGGGTTTTGAGGTCTGTCAACCTTAGCTTTGTTTGTTTTTGTTTTGTTTTGGTTTGTTGTTGTTGTTGTTTTTTCGAGACAGGGTTTCTCTGTGTAGCCCTGGCTGTTCTGGAACTCCCTCTGTAAACCAGGCTGGCCTTGAACTCAGAGAGTTTCGAAACCTAGGTGTTAGTGGACATTTACCTCTCACAAGACTTTGTGTTCCCTCTGGTATGTGAGCCTGCTTCTCTCACTGGCTTGTGCCTCCCTTGGGAAGACACTGGAAGCAGGGCCGAGCTCAGTTGATTAGAAAGCCCTTAATTCATGTATTGGATCCCTATGATATCCTGACAGCTTTCCTCACATTTAGTCATAGCCTGGACACTGAGATTGGGAGGCTGATGAGCCCAGAATTCTAAGGGTGTGGATGACTCAGCATAGGCTTCCACCACTCCTCAAGAAATACCCCAAAGTATACAGTACACTGGCATGTCTCAGTAGAGGGGCAAAGGACAGCAAACACAAAGAGGGGAGAATGGTTGGAGCCTCCGGTTACAGAAGAAGCAGGCAGCCAAGTAAGATTACATGAAGTGTGTTTTGCAGAACTCGGGAGAACAGACATAAATGTAGAATTGTGTCTCGTCTGATTTAGAATCTTGCCCTCCAGTGTCTAGTGGATTGTCTGTTGCCACCTTGAGGAAAATACGTTTTCATGATGTGGGTGTGTTTGAGTAGCCCGAGCATCCATCCTAGCTTTCCCTCACTGACCTTCTGTACCTGCAGTTACCTGGAGCCTGAAGTGACTGTGGAAGAGTGAACCACCGAGCTGATGAAACTGTTTTCCTGAGTTCATTCAGGGCAGGTGAAATTCATGAAATTGAAAATGTGAAAACACGAAGCTGCTTTTAGCTTTCCATGTTTCTGTTGAGGACAGCAAAACTGTGGGCTTTTCCAGGTGTGTAGATTACTCCCAAAGGTGTGCCCTTTGCTCCCATTTCTCTCCAGAACAAAACAAACAACAAACAGAAACAAACTTTACCATCAGCATATTGTTGTGATACTCTGTCATGTTTTTCTTGCTTGGTGATAAAATATACATAACAAATTTCACCGTTTTTAGGTGCACACCTTGGTGGTACTAAAGACAATTATGATGCCTTAAAACTCTTTTTTTTGAGTTTTTGATTTCTTTTTTTTTCAACTTTTTTTATTTGAATTAGGAACAGGATTGTTTTACATGACAATCTCATTTCCCTTCTCCCACCCGTCCTCCTCTACCCGCCCCCCCTGATGCCTTAAAACTCTTACCAGAACTTTTTTTCCTTACGCTTGACTGAAACTCCATACTCATTAAATAGTAACCCCCTGTCTCCACTCCCCTGGAACTACCTCTACTGTGTCTATACTTTAGCCATCTTAAGCATCTTGAGGAAGTGAAATTACATCATTTCTTTTGTGGCCTCTTATTTTAGACTATTGTTAAGGTTCTTCAATGTAGCAGATACCAGAATTTCATTCCTTTTTGAGTTGGAATAATATTTCATTTTATTTATTCCTTCATCTATTATTGGTGAACATGTGGTTTGCTCCAACTTTAGGAGTCCAGCGAATAATGTATTTGATGCTTCTCAAACTATGCCCGGCCATGTTTGCTCTCTCTCCAGCACATGCATCTTTCCCCAAGGTAATAGGTTTGATAAGCTTATGCTTCTTGCTATTTTCTGTCTTTTTAATTCTGTTTCCTTCTCTTGGCCTATTGCAGGTCAGTAAATACTTGATGCTAATGATAGATAATATAAGCTGAATTTAGGAGCCCAGAGCAGGATGGCACTTTAAACATCATATCTGTATTACATGGGGGAAAGTATTGAACTTGTTTTCCAAAGCACCATTGACCAGGGGTCAAAATCCAATCTTGTGCTTATTTCAAAGTTAACACACTGTCACTGGCCACTCCTTCTCAAGGGTTTAGGAATAGAGCGATAGCTGAGTTATGTATGGGGTCATGAGTCAGGGGAATACATGGATGCAGGCTGGTTAGAATATAAATCTCCATGAGCCCTTTTGTTTGTTTGGTTTTTGTCTTGTGTGTCAAGGATATGGAATTCAAGTAGCTCAATAATTAGATAAAAGCTGGGCCTGTTGTCCTGGGAAGCAACAAATGAATCCCACTATAGAAACCTAAAGGTTTTTACTGAAAATAAAAGCAATGTAGTGAAAGTAAATTGGGATAAGTATGAATTTGTATTAGATGTGGTTAAAAGTTATGTGATTTATTATAATTTCAGAAAGTTTTAAAACACACATTTGGCCATGGACTTTCATTGGCTTTTCTTGCATTTAAGATACATGTGGTGTTAGAAAAATGTCTATCAATGGGTCTTTGTTTAAGGCTCTTAAAGTAAACAACAACAAGTAGGAGGGGTGCCTTCTAGAAGCTTCTTTGATGAAATTTCACCTCTGGCTATCTGCACACAATCAGGTTTGCCCACAGAGAGGCCTACAATGAGACTATTCAGGCCGGAAGAGAAAACACAGAGCCACAGTTTACAACCTGACTAGTGCCTACTGGGAGTGGTTTCTTCTCTTTTCTTTTTCAGATCAGTTACTCTGGATTAAGCACCCACAGCTAGCCTATTATTTCTTTAAAGGCTAAAAATCTATTTGTATGTAGTTTGCTAATAAAAAAAACTATGTTCTTTAATTTAGAGTTTCTGTTAGAATTTACTATGAAACCCAAAGTACTGTCACCCACTCCCTTTTGCCTATTTAGCACTGCAAAGCTTGCTCTCCTGGGTGCCGTCTTCAGGTTGTTAAAATGTCAAATTGGCAACTGATCTGTTTCATAAAAGGTTGTGAGATAGATGCAGCCAGAACAGAAGGCTTTGTGTGCCAGGATAATGTTTGCTGTTGTAAATCTGTAGGCTGCGCTTAACAACCCCTCTTGCTAGAATTAGCTCTGTTAAGGAAGTTCTTTGTCATCCTTCCCCCTTCAAATGGAATTTGGAATGTTGCATATAGGTCCTTTCCCGGGACTTTACTGGCACACTGGCTCACACATGGGCATCCAGGTACCCCTTGCCACACAAGGTGGGTAGACAGGGCTCCCTCTTCTGCTCCGAAACCTTCCAGCCATTTCTTTCTCCTCTCCATCTGTCCTGCCGTCCAGAATTAGAACTGGCTTTGTTTGGCCTTGAGTGCAAGGCCCAGGCAGCTGAGTTTGCCTGGCTCTTCAGTAGCTTTCTTTCTTTCTTTCTTCCTTCCTTTCTTTCTTTTTTTTTTTTCAAGTGATTTCAAGGGTTGTATTTTTCTTTGGCTTAGAAACTCTATCAACTTATCTACTCACTCATATGTGTATTTTAGACATAGAGTAAAGGATTACCAGCCTACAATCCACACTGCCAGAGATGCTAGTAAACAAGGAGGACCCTAAGAGAGACACACATGGTCCCCTGGAGAAGGGGAAAGGGACAAGATCGCGTGAGCAAATTGAGAGCTTGGGAAGAGGTGGGAGGGAGCTACGAGAATGAAAGGGAAGAAGAGGAAGGATGCAGAGGTCATGAGGGAGCAGAAAGGTTGAGTCAGGGGAAGAATAGAAGAAAGGGTAAGTGATAGGTAGGGGGCGTGTTAGGGGAGGATGAGAGGGAGAAGGGAACTGGGATTGTCATGTAAAACAATCTTGTTTCTAATTCAAATATAAAATGGTGAAAAACTCTATCAACTAGTATCAACATGGTAACCCGGTTAAAAGAAGAACTGTCAGAATTACAAGCCCTATTTATATTATATTATATATAAGTATATAATATAACATAAAACCAGCCCCGTGGGAGGCAGATGTGATTGTTAAAGTGCCCTGTGGGGTAGGTGGTGGTGTATTCCAGCTGATGATGGCTAGAGCTCCTCCTGTGGCCTTCTTTCATGGTTCTGAGGCCTTGTTCAGATCCTCACAGCCCCACTAAATGGGTAGCTAATGCTGTGTACTCCAAGCCTTCTGTGGTTGCTGGCATATGTGGCCATTCTGTGTTCAAGGCGAGCCTCCTCTCCTGCAGCATTCCAAGAAAACCCTGATTGCGCCATCTTTGACCGACCCCACTTGCCCACCCCATTTGATGGTTTTTGATTTCTTCTTTAAAGACCCAGCGAGCCAAACTTCCTCTTCCCAGAAGCCTAGTGCAGTTCGAAGCTGAGCACAGCAGGAAGGGATTAACCCAGCTGTTGTCTTGCCTTCCAGATCTGACTGAAGAGCGACTTGGGGACAGCAGTTCAGCAGACAACGCTGCTGCGGAGGCCTTCAGTGACAAAGACACCGACCAGAGGAGCTCCCCAGATGTGGTCAAAGGCAAGAACTGCTTCACTCCAGAGAGCCCCGAGATCGTGTCCGTGGATGAAGGGGGATACGCTGTGCAGAAAAACGGGGGTAACCCAGAAAGCTGCCCTGACAGCCCCAAGTACCACGCTGAGCAGAGCCACCTCCTGATCGAGGGTCCATCGGGGACCGTCTCTCTGCCCTTCAGTTTGAAAGCCAACCGGCCACCCCTGGAAGTGTTGAAGAAAATCTTCCCCAACCAGAAGCCCACTGTGCTGGAGCTCATTCTGAAAGGCTGCGGGGGCGACCTGGTCAGTGCGGTGGAGGTCCTGCTGTCCAGTCGGTCCTCGGCTGCTGGGGCGGAGCGGACGGCCGAAGAGAGCCTCGTGCTGCCCTCCAGCGGCCACATCTTTGAACACACGCTGGGCTCCTACCCCATCTCTTCCTCCAAGTGGTCGGTGGGCTCCGCCTTCCGAGTCCCTGACACCTTGCGCTTTTCGGCGGACTCCAGCAACGTGGTCCCCAACCCCTTGGCCGTGCCCTTGCAGCATCCTTTCCCCCAGCCACCCCGGTACCCATTGATGCTGAGGAATACTTTGGCCAGGAACCAGTCAAGCCCCTTTCTGCCCAACGATGTCACCCTGTGGAACACCATGACGCTGCAGCAGCAGTACCAGCTGAGGTCCCAGTATGTCAGCCCCTTCCCTAGTAACTCCACCAGTGTCTTCCGGAGCTCGCCTGTGCTCTCCTCCCGCACCACAGAGGACCCTCGGATCTCCATCCCCGATGATGGGTGTCCAATCGTGACAAAGCAGCCCATCTACACAGAGGATGACTATGACGAGAGATCCGACTCCTCGGACTCTAGAATACTCAACACATCATCCTAAAGTGTTACCTATGGGTGGTGACCAAGTGGCATTTTGTGTGTGCTGGACCCCCCCTCCACCCAGGAGAGTCCACTAATACTGTATTCTCTTTCCTCCTGTTTGACAAAGTGACTGTGCTTGATAGTCTATACATTAGCAATAAAAACATAACTTATTTAATTCCCTGCACTGGAGAATGCCAAATAGGTCTGCTCTGTGGATTTCGTGCTGAGTGTTATAGATGAGTCTAAAGCTAAGGACTGCCTAAGAAGGCTGGGCCTGGGGAGATTTAGTTGGAGGGTCAACTTTACTCCTAAATTCAACCTGGAATGTTAAGTGAAATAGTATACTTGAATGCAATTTTGTGAAAGGATTCCTCAGGATGCCGGAAACCTTAGGGAGTGGTCCGGTTGCAGTTGCTGACCAACTATGAACAGGGACATACTGCTCCAATTCAAAGAGAGACTGCACTTGGGGACAGAGCGGACTGTGCAGCCGCTTATTTAAGCCTGGACAATTTTCAGAGACAAACTCCATTAAGAGTTATTCTTTTCACATGGCTGAATTGAAACATGTGTCATGTCAATATAAAACCCATCACAGCTGTGAACTGCATGAAATGTATCGTGAAATGAACACAAGCTTAAGCTTTGTCAGGTTAATGTAGCATGCTAAGGACTCTAGAAAAATAAACTAAGGAGACGGTCTTGGTCGATGTCTTTTCTACTTGTGGAAGGAAGAGTTCCAAACACAGAGTCTCTGGTAAAAGCTCTCTACTAATGCACAGGTCTGAAACAAAGATACCGTGCAATGGGACAAGTCTTAAACTGGGTGTATCCTGTAGCTTAAGGGTCAGCATGTGTAAGCCCTGGCTCAGTCCCTAGCACTCTAAACCATATCACAGCAACAAGACACATTGATAATGAAAAAAAAAACCAAAATAACAACAACAAAAAAACAAAAAAACTACCAACAGTGTCCAACTGAGTGAGAGAAAGAAGCCAGGTGTTTCTGGTAAAGCCCTGACACAAATCCTCTGGGGGCGTGAAGTACCTGAACACTTGCTCCCCGAAGTCCAACAGTCTCACATGCAGAATTTAGGTGTGAATTCCCCCATTTTCATTTGGCCAATTCTAGTATAAGGCAAAGCATTTAGGGTCCCCCTCCCTTCATTGGGAAAGCCTTCTTGGGCTTGCTGTGTGTGGTAAACTTCTCACTTAACTCTTTAAGAGAAATTTCAAGCAGTGTGTCACCCCCAACCCCATGACTGTTTTTATTCTTTGAAATGCCCTAGAATCAGGATGACTGCTTACGTCAGGCAATAATGTAATGAACCTTCTGAATCTGGAAGGGAAAGTAAGTCAAAGCACAAAAGCCTCTACACAGGAGGATTCGTGGAGCACCCCCACGAGTAAGCTTGGAAGGGCTCTTGAGTGATGGGAGAAGGGCAAACTTTCACCTTGAGATACCTCCAAGCCCAAACAGCTCTGGCAAATGGGTCTTATTCAAAAGAATCTTGTTGCTTTTGGAATGAGTAATCTTTGCATGAGAAAAATTCCTTGTATTGATTGGACTGCTATGGATTTCGTGGACATAGTTACATACCAGGGTGCTTGAAAGTAAATAGCATTTTGTTGTTGAGGCTCCGTGTAAGCATTGATGCTTCTGTAAGACAGAAGTGGAGGAGAGAATGAGCTGCCCTTTGAACTTAAAGGCATGATGTGGCACTGATGTCTGTCCAGGGCAAATGTGCTTTAAAAGACATTTGCATTCCCATGGTTTGCCCACATTTGACAAGCATTGATAATCTCCCGTGGGAACCAAGCCGTCATCAAGGCTGCCTCTAGATGTTACTTCTCCAGGTGGAATGGTCCCTGGTGGAACATAATTGCCTGGTGCATATCCTCACATCTGGATCATCAATGTCTTAGACATCTTTTATGATGGACAGAGGAACAGAACAATCTTAAAACCGTGCAGCTGTCTACTTGTGAGCAGGTGAAGGTCTGCTTTTTGTTTATTCCTTTTCCCCTCAGTGTTACCACTTGAGGAAAGAGAGATTTTGGTGAGAAGAGAGTGGGCAGGGCTCTCGGAGTGAGAAATGGGTTGCTAGGCTCCTATAGCCGGTTCTCTCTGCATTCCTAATAGCTGAGCCCCCTAGAGGGGCAGAGCCTCTTAGATTGGGACTCAGATTTCTGAGTCCTTCTTGCCGAAGCAGAAGCATGTAGCGCTCCAGGAAGCTGAACGAACCTGCCCACGGCACTCAGTTTCTCTTTCCCATGGAGCTGAACATCTGGATGTTGTGATCAGGGGGACATCACCCCGCTTTCAGATAAACTTCCAACTGTCTCATAGCATCTGCCAGCTTGGCTGTGGACTTCCAATACTCAACATCCATTTGACCTGGAAGTCCATCCTGTCTGATTAGACGTTGATTTCACATTGAACTTCAGTCTGGTGAGATCCTGTCTACTCCTAATTTTAGTTAACTGTTTCTCCAGTCAGCTAAGGTTTTGCGAGTGTTAGTTGTGCTATGGATCCTTCTGCCTCAGAGTGGTTTGTGCATCCTGGGGCTGCATTTCCAAAGCAAATTCCTGAACAGATTCTGGCTTAAGCCAACCCCAGGCAGATGGGGCAGTATGATTTTATCATCATCTTTGCGTAACTTGTGAACTCACCAGACTAGAACATGGTTTCTTGTCTCAGTCCTATGCTGAGCAAAAGCATCAAGTACCATGCTCGTATGATTTTATCATCATCTTTGCGTAACTTGTGAACTCACCAGACTAGAGCATGGTTTCTTGTCTCAGTCCTATGCTGAGTAAAAGCATCAAGTACCATGCTGAAGTTTTCAGTCTACCCTCACATGGTAAGGTAGACCTCACTGTGTAAGGCCCTAAGCGCTGGCCCTAAGTCTAGTGCACACAGCTTTGAGGTCTGGGTCAATTACTAGGTGGGTACACATTTGGAGACACAAATGCCTGTTTCTGGAAACTTCACATTGGTAAAGGACCAGACAATAGCATAAATGTGTGGTACCCTTTCTGCCCCGGGGAAAGTCTGGTCTTTCTGGGGCTGTGCAACCTTCTAGTTATTCCACAATTTCCAGGTTACTGGTGACATCTGAGAATAAAATTTCCCCTGCTGCCTTAGATTTTGAAAAAGTAGCAGCAATCTTCACAGTGGGGTGAAAGTAGTTCCATAGGTGGATCAAGGAGCAAGGCATGGGGCTGGAGAGATGGCTCAGGGGTTAAGAGCACTGGCTGCTCTTCCAGAGGTCCTGAGTTCAATTCCCAGCAATCACATGGTGGCTCACAACTCTCTATATAATGATATCTGGTGCCCTCTTCTGGTGTGCAAGCATACATGCAGGCAGAGCACTGTATACATAATAAACCTTTTTTAAAAAAGGAAGAAGCAAGGCATGTATGTGCGCCTACATTATTGTAGATGGTCAGGCAGGTAACAGGCATGGGTGATTCTAGACCATTGGTGGAGTTTTTGGTACCCTTTCTGCCCCGGGGAAAGTCTGGTCTTTCTGGGGCTGTGCAATTCTAGTTATTCCACAATTTCCAGGTTACTGGTGACATCTGAGAATAAATTTTCCCCTGCTGCCTTAGATTTTGAAAAAGTAGCAGCAATCTTCACAGTGGGGTGAAAGTAGTTCCATAGGTGGATCAAGGAGCAAGGCATGGGGCTGGAGAGATGGCTCAGGGGTTAAGAGCACTGGCTGCTCTTCCAGAGGTCCTGAGTTCAATTCCCAGCAATCACATGGTGGCTCACAACTCTCTATATAATGATATCTGGTGCCCTCTTCTGGTGTGCAAGCATACATGCAGGCAGAGCACTGTATACATAATAAACCTTTTTTAAAAAAGGAAGAAGCAAGGCATGTATGTGCGCCTACATTACAGTAGATGGTCAGGTAGGTAACAGGCATGGGTGATTCTAGACCATTGGTGGAGTTTGCTAGGTTAACTAAAAGCCTTCTAATGAGCCATTTTACATATTCAAATTTTATGAAAAGAAACTGCAATAGGAAAGAGAGTGAGAGATGCGACAACCAGATATTATAGGACCTGCTTCTCAGTGACTCCCCTGTCAAGGTCCTCCAGCTTGCCCTGTGTATCGATCTGGACAAAGGCATTGAGAGGGGGGCATCTTGGGAACATTTGTTGGGTGCCCAGGAAACAGGCTCTGGCTGCGTTTGAACCGACATATTTGAAAAATGAACTTGATTTCACTGCATACTGTCTCAGTGATTCATTCTTTCTATGTGCATTTACTCAGCAGAAGGAAGGCGGGAAGAAGATGGATGCTAAATTTATATGTTAATTTTAATACTGAAGCCATCCTATATTTGAAGAATAAGATCAATGCTTCAATTTCATTTCTTATGTGATACTGAAAGTTGTCATCGCTAGGGGAAAAATCACTTCCGAATGCATCCTCCCCAAATTCCAATCTTCCAGGGCAGAGCAGCCTCGGAAGAGGCAATCTCGCCTTTTGCTGATGGTCTGTGCAG